CCCTTCTGATTATAATGATTTTTATAAGATAACCTGTTACTTTAAATACTTTGTTTAACCCTGAAACATCTACAAGTATCGAAGACTTATATATTTATCTAAAGAGACTCAGGAACCCCAGTTGGTTTCATATGACATCGATTTTAGTTTGCTTTCATGTCTTTACTGTTGGATTACTTTCACATATCACTATTCAAAGTTTAATTTTAAGTATTTGCTGATAAGATATAGTAAAACTGTTATATTGCATAAATCATTGTACAAAAATGATTTCGTTTGATAATACTTTCGTAATATAGAATACTAGATATTGTATTTTCCACCATTAGGATCAGCTTATATATATACCAAACATTTAAATATAAACCTACCATTATAAACAGTAAAATGGAATTGAACTTATTTTCTAGGTACATAATAGGAATTATTGAATAAATGGAATACTGCTAATTTTAATAGTTGAGATAATGAGTCAATTGAAGCTAGACCAACATGAAAAACCTGAGAGCTCTGAACGACGGTTTCGTCCTATTGTGGGATTCCTCAGGAGTGCGCATCCACGATCCCGCCCCGCGAGATTCGAACCCAGGACCTATCAGTCTCGCGCGCGAACGCTTAACCTCCTGACCACTGAGCCAGCATCCAATGATGTTAATGGCTAACTTCAACCGATCCACGAATACTACAAGTTTAAAAATGCATCATACTATGTTTATTTGGAATTAAATAATATTTTCTAATGCAGAGAACTGTCAGAGTAATGATTATAAATGTATAATTTCCTTCAACTACTTTATTATTATTGATGACATGTTACCGATCAAAAGAGTGATACATTTACTAGATGGATGAAAATGGAGACTTTATTAATTATTTATATCAATAAATAGACATAAAAAGCCTTGAATGAAACGTCTTTTTTAAAATAAGTAATTACCTTATAATGAGTAGTTAATTAAACAAATTTTATAAATATTGATATGATTGCTAGTTTTCTAACTACTGTCCTTCAAAAGATAGAGTTATATAATTCATCAAATGGAGGCTTGATAATTATTTTGAATGTATTCCCAAATGTAAATTTTGTCACTAATAACCGTCATACATATTCATTATTGAAAGATTGGTACTTGTATGAATTTTAAGTTATCAAATCCTAGGTTTTACATTATTAATATATAGATACTTCTTTCAAATTAATAACATATACAGTCACTACAAAAATGTCCAGTCCACAAAACTGTTGACAATTTTATCGAATTGTCCTTGAAGCTGGAGGAAACGTGGATATATGACAATGGTAAGACAAGTCTTTTTGACACTTGCTTATTATCTTTAATGAATAAGAAAAGATATACAACTGCTTTGTTTTGCAAAATATGTTTAAACTAAAGATTATACAGAATTGCAACAATCCAAAGGCTTCAGGGAAACAGCTGCTAATAGCTTTTCACTTATCTCGGTCTGAATTATTGGATAATATGGATGGCTTTTGTATGAACAGTGTAGTTTGAAGCTGTGGATATAAACTTTTATTTGGTAGTTGGACTATAATTAAATACATATCGTCTTTTAGCAGGTATCTGGTGACATGGACAAAGTGTTTTTTATGTAGTAATAAATTTATTAAGATTATTTTTCACTTGCAACACAAATAGTTTCCAGCCGTGCAAATAAAGCCCTTTGGATGATTAGGAATTTTGCATCGGTATACTATTATAAATTACGAATTGTAAATAAAGTATAAGTAGTTAATTTTCTTGCATAATTGCTTTTGTAATTAGTATTTACAACCAAAACCTTATATTCAGTACATAAACCTTAGCATACTTTATACTGTTTAGACCTAAAAGTTGTTGTGTGGTATAGCATTAATTAGTAATAATTCGTTAGCGCTTTTTCTGGTTTTTCTAGTGAGTTGGTTTTCTACGGGATGGGGTCGCTAATACCATGCCTAACCCTCCTCATTTACCCGGGCTTGGGACCGGCAGTAGCCCCCGGAGGCGCTACAGGCGGAGTTAATTAGTAATAATAGTATTGACATACTTACTAAAGTAAAAATTCTTCCGAAATTCATAAGTGATACTCGTCAGGGACTAATATCAACTAAGGTACGATTTCAACCCAAAAGACACTATGAAGTTATTTCGTTGTAGTGTAGTACAAATTAACAGTAGGTATCCACGATCGGCAAGTTAAAAACTGAATATTTCTAAGTCCCGCGGACAATAATTAAACCTTAAACCACTGAGTTTGAATCCAGTTGTACACATTTCGGTTTTGAAATCACTTCAGGATTAAAAATGACGACTACACACTGGCATTATTAATGACATCCATAAAGGCTCGCATAGCTAAAATCCGCCAATCACAATTTCTCGTAAAAAATTCGAAAACTATTTTTAAAGTGGATCGTTGATGAGCACGTGATTATATCGTTGTTAAGGATAATATTTGTTCACCGGAACATGAAGATTTAATAATCCACCTGTTTAATCATTATAATTTTATGATGGAATGAATATTGTTTCCTAGATTACAGTGCAAAATTCATTGGTCAAATGGAAATTCTCATTCATAAAATATGTCAACTCACTTTTTAGGAATAAACTTTGATTTGCGGGAGTTGTTTGGAAAATTTAAAACCTTCTGAATATCTGAAAACGTCGAATGCAGCCGAAATAATAAATGTGAACTTAAAGCCACTATCTGTTCTAAACAGTACGTCATTTGGGGTCTAGCCAGATGTATCGAAATGAGACTTCATTTTACGTGAATTCACCTAGATTCATGTTAAAGCAACAAGTATCTAAGAGTTATACTGTTAAGTAACATAGATATGATATTATTAAATTACAAGTTTTGGCTTGGAACATTCGCATCAAGATGAATTATACTGAGTAAATACTTTTGGATGAATAAACACAACCAACAAATAATTAATGTGTCGAAATCTAAATCTTTCTTGCCTTTGAACAACTAGTAACATTTAAAAAAATTTAAGAAAATACTTTTAAAAATATGTGTAGTTATTGATGATACCCGGAATTCCACCATGAACAGAGAATTATTTCATTACCGAAATCGAAAACCTGACATAGCGACTAAACCTTATTTTGTCTATTGGATTTATTATCAAATTGCAAAACTTATTTGTCTTTTTTCTAAGATTGGTCAAACCATCTGTTTTCATATGATATATCTATATAATAGTCGAAGTACAGTGAGGTTAATTTTATACTGCTTCAATGAAAACCGTTTAGGTAAGATAGGAACAGATGATTTTGTAGAGAAAAACAATTAAAGTTCAATAATTAGATTATCTAGCTCAGAGAACAAAGCCTCAACTAAATATCTCTTAATAACATTTTCAAATAAAGTCACATGATATGAATATTTCACTCCCTTTTAGTTCACCAGTCGATATTTTGTAAGTTTAAACAATTAACAGTATTGGCTTGTGGATATTGTTGAGTGTCAATTGAGATCACCATTGAAAACCTGGACGTACTGAACGAATATTTCTCTCTCCTTAGCATCGCGCATCCACAAGTCTGCACATGGTAGTCAAACTCAGAACATTCAGGCTCACAGGAGAACGCTTTACCTTTAGAACACTGGGATGACATTCAACGACGTTAAAGTCTAACTCCAACCAATCCACGATACTGTGCTACCGTTCTCCACTGTCTCCAGTGAATAACTGACACATACCAGAGGTGGTTGAACTCCACATACTACGGCTTCCCGTGGGTGCGCACCGATGAGAAGTCCCATACTAAGAAGAAACAGATATCCAGTGCCTCCAGATTTTTAATTGTGTTCTAACATTGATCGGTTCATGATCTCAGTTTACGGATTGATACAAAGTATCATTCATTCTATGAACTAACTAAGTGGTCTATGAAATTGTTAGCAAAGATGGATAGTGGCTAGCAGTAGAATCCAGAATGCGCGTTTCGTCTTATTTGAGACTTATCAGCTAGATGTACCTGCATCTCAGAGTCGATGCTCACTCTGGAACTCGAACCCAGTATCTTTCGCTTCAAACGTCATCGCGTTATCCACTCAGCTACTGAGTCCTCATAATGGTCTATGATATGTGTTTATTCACCAAACAAGTCTGACAATGAAGAAAAACCTGTTATTGTAGTAATAAAATTATTTTGATACCCTTTTTTATACAACGAAGAATACTTCATTTATCAGCAATAGTGTTGACTAATTACAACTGTGATTAAAACAACAGTAAATCTACTAAAATCTGATTCGTTATGTTTAAAGAAATAATTTTCTTATTTGTTATTCAATTGATCATTCAAATGTTTAATTTCTCAAATAGAACTTTATATGTTACATAGATAATATTTTGCTTGAGGTTATAATAATGTGATCTTTTATAAATTTGTCAACCTTAATAGTCATTATAGTTAATCTAAGTGTATTCTCATTACATTGTGTTTGCTTGTTGATCGTGAAAACAACCTTCTTTTATGAAGTGATAAAACGTTTGATATACATTGATATAATTAGTTTTTTACTTCACTAAGCTATAAATATGTTTTTACTGAGAGTATCTTCATAATGTTTATTTAGTTATTGTGACAATATCTAATTAATTACAAATATTGTAGAGGTGTTTAATAGAAATAATGAGAATTTGCTGTAGGATATGAATGTATAACCAGTTTTTCTAGTAAATGTCATATGGAGTTTGTGTTGTATTAATTTGTGAAAGTTGGTAGGTGTTATAGGATTTAGTCTAGTCTATTCGGATTTCATGGTAAACGAGCAGAATCTTATTACTTATTTGTTTATTTAAACCATTAATATTCTTGAACAATGCCTAATCATTGTTATCGACTATAAATTTTTTTGTAAAGTAGTGATCAGACTAAGGTCATTTCGTTATCTTATAATTTAATTGTATTTTGCTACATTACCGTGTATACGTTATCGAAATATCCTATCACACTGTGATGTTTTCTATGTTCCATTAGAGTTGCAAACTACTGGAGAGTTTCTTAATGGGACGAAAAATTTGTACAGTACTTCTTGGTTTTGACTAATAATCTAGGATATCATCTAGAAAATAAGATATCATAAAAAATGAAGCTAATAGGGATCATTTGGGAAGTAAGTTGAGCGTTAATTCTTATAAAGATTCACTTATTATTATTAGCTTTATTCAATATTATATTTCTGGTACAATATAGAATTCTCAGTACAATGCATTTCAAGAAAAGTACATTTTATTGATCTTAGTCGATCCTTACGACAAATATTGAGTGATCACCAGTTAGAAGTTCAATCGACATCTAAATAATGTATATTATTTTTTCTGCATATTGTCAGCAACCACGATATCTATGATTGGGTTTTTGTAACTTGTACAACGAAAGGTAGTACACTTTTCAGTAACGCACCTGAATAGGTTATGCAATTAATAGCCATAATGATGTATTAAAACAAACAAAATTAGATAACTTGCTGAAGTATCTATATGGAAGGGATAGATAGCCCAGATATTCAAACAGGGCTCCGTAAAGTTTTTTTCTATTATGTGTGACATGTATTCGCATCTTAAAAAGGATTGTAGATGTTTCATTGTATAATGTGTTCACAAAGTTAGCGATTTGTTATTGCTAAATAAAACTCAGTTCAACTTATACAAACCTGGCTGCATAACTAACTGTACATAAATAATATAAAAGGTGATGTGTTTGAAATAATGTTTATTCATTTTGCGAATCAAAAATATTCCTATCAACAGTCTTCGAGCCTTTTCTCCTGTGTTCACGTTGCCGTGTGATTCCAGTCTGGGGTTAATAGAAGCGGCAAGGGAGTCGAATCGAGTGTTCAATCATGAGACATAATGTTATGTTAAGTCAAACAAAAACGGATAACTTGTTGAAATATCTAGACAGCAGGAACAGGTAGACCAGATGTTCAATCAGGCTGATTTTAGTTTTGTACGTTTCAAAAAACGTTTTGTTGTTATTTCTAAATCTTATAAGATCAGTCAAAATTTACTTCAACAGTCATTATTACGGAATCCAACTGCATGAACTACAAATCGTTAACAATCAGTTTAATAACATTATTTAATGAAAAAAAGCAAGCTGAACATGAATTAAATAGACAAATATCAATAATTTTAAAAAAAATATGATATTAAGATTGTATCATATTTTAGTCTCATTATATAAAACATACGTCTCGTTAGTGATTATCAGATTCCGACGAAACGGTATGTAAATAGTCTAAATAAAAAAAGGATAGGATATGTATCATGTTAAATATAGTGATATTTATTTGGTTGAAATTTTGTGGATATTATAAATTTCATGAATTTAGTTCCCTTTTATGAATTTAAATAAAGCCAGAACTAATATTGATGTAGAATAATATGAATTCATTATATTTCATGGCTTCTTATCAGCTGCTTACAACCAAATGCTAAAATTCTAATGCACATTTGGTTGTAAGCAGCTGATGAGAAACCACGAAATATAATGAATTCATATTATTCTACATCGATATTACAAATACTAGGGATCAAATAATCCCAATCTCAATTAAGATCCTCTAGACTAAAAATGAATTCCTAACATATTTATTCAATACCTTTGGGTTTTCTGTTTTTCTTTTGATTCATTATTATAAGGATAATTATTAATACACTTTTTGGCATTAATAATCATGATTTGATGAGACATTATATGAAACACATTTTTGAACCACTTCTTACCAATTTCTATCCTATTGAATAAAGTTATTTTTTCATTCCAGGTACCTAATAAATATTTTGCTTTTTTTGTGTTTTCTCGGTAGAAGAAATGTTAAATTTATCCATTTGATTGTTTTAATAAGAGAGAAAAAATACTAATCAATAGTTACTATGTTAACATATTTAAAATAGTGTAGAGAACTAATCATGATTGATTGATCACTGGGTGGTGATAAATGTCATGTGTGTCAAGTCCTTCTTAGTGCAGACTGAATGCTATCGATCAAGTTACGATGTGGCCACTAGTCTAGGTGGCTTGACGCTGCGTGCATTATGTTGAGAACTAATGGATTATGTTTATATTAAATTACTATATTTAGAAATATTAATGTAACTGAATATATTTTATTTTACACGTCTTTATTAGTTTCGTTACTGTCTTTTTTAAATTATTTAAAAATCTTTGATAAATAAATTTCAAACTTGTTGATTGGTGGTTTTTTATGGGTTTTTTTGTATAAATGAAAAAAGGAAGTAAAAATATTTGTAGATTAAAAACATAGAAGCACCGGACGGCCGTTTCGTCTTATTGTGGGACTCCTCAGCATTGCGCATCCACGGTCCCGCCTTCCAGGTTTTCCATGGTTGCCTAGCTTCAATTGACTCATGATTTCAACTATATAAAATTACTAAAATCTCTACAAAACCCCCTTCTGAAAATTAAAAACAGTTTACAGAATATTAAAACATATATAAAACATATATATAGGACATACTTTTAGATATTCTATTCAAACAGTTTATCCTAAATGAACTCTGAATCTATACATTGTAATAAGAAGGGTGTTATCAAGTTAATTACGATAAACGAATTGGGAATGATGGATGTGAAGATCAAGGTAGAGGTAATCAAAAAGAAGGAGTGGTATAAGGTTTATAATATTCAGTTTAGGTATCCGGTGATCCAGTTATAAGCCATGGTGAACATAGAGGCTGGACATGCCTTTTCTGGATATATAAGTTTGGTTTTCTGGAGTTGATTCAGATGGCTTCCGCTATATAGAGTAAACATAATCTAACTCCTTGAAATAAATTTTTCGGAACTCGATTGAAAACAGAAAATGCTTAATCTATTTTAATTTGATGTTCACTATTTATCAAATGAGAAAGAATGGTACTGTTTATCGGTTTAGTAACTCCTTTTCCCAACCATACTGGTACATGTTCACAAACAAGCCAGAACATAGTCCTCTGAGTACGGCCTATGTAACTATCTTCATAGGAACAGTTGAATTGCTATACACACATGAAGGAACCCATCATCGGTAATCTTTCCTTGATTTGTTGTTATATATAACTTGGCACCATGAAACGTCCTATCAACAAATCTTTTGAATACTATTAATTTATGTTTTTCACTTTGATGATTTTCTAATCAGTAAATTGACTTTTTATACTAAACAAACTATTTAATCACATTGTCTTATGATATTCTATTCCTTTTTCATATAACAGATATAATATTCATGAATGTCAAGCATAATCCATTACATCTTATGTTACAATATACTTTCAAATTAACGTTTATGCCATTAAATCATTATTATTATAATTTCTTCAAATTTTGGATATTATTACATAATTGTACATATCTACTATATTTCTGTGATGGATGCCAAAGTATTGCAAATATAAAAATTACTGAATACTCTACGGAACAATACTTAAATCAATCTAATTTTAATGTCATTCATTCATCATGGCCAATAAATCCAATTCATTCACAAATATCTATTAATTTAAGTGAAATACTTTTACAAAATTTACATTTATCTATAGAAGATATCAATGAACCATTATATTTCTCAGATGTAGAACAAAGTGAACCATTTATAATACGTCGAAGAGTTAGTGATGATCATTCAAAATTTTCATGGTATGAATTAACTTCAATTATTCCAGTGAATCGTGAAACAATATGTGATATAAAACGTTATCCAGAACGTATATCAATTTCTCAATTATGTTGTTCTATGACAACAACAAATACAAGAACAACAGCAACAACAACAACCAATGAAGCTAATCTTCATAGTAATAATATGTATACTTTTAATGATCCATGTTGTATATTTTTAGGTATTACTATTTCATCAAAAGGAACATATTTCCTTCGTATTGATATTAATGATTTAAATGATAATGCACCAAAATTTCAAGAATTAATATTTGGCAAGTCATTAATTAATAAACATGATAATTATGGTAGATTTATAATAAATATTATGGAAAATACACCTAATGGTAGATGGATACCATTACCTAAAGCAACAGATTTAGATGAAGGATTAAATGCTTATGTACAATATTCTATAAAATTACCAAATAATGAACCTGTATGGAATGATTATTTTAAATTAATAGATAATGTACAAAATAGTAATATTGACACAATATCTATACCTACTAAAGTTTATTTGAATACTGATACTAATGAATTTAGTGCTTTAGCTACAGATTACAATGGTCCAGGATTACTTATATTAAAAACATTAGATCGTGAAGAAATTTCCAGTTTCTCATTTATTTTAATTGCAACTGATATGGGACAACCATTTCCACGATCTAGTTCTTTGAATATTTGGTTACGAGTAAGTTCACCACCCTATGTAACAAATTATTTGTTTGCTTATTATTTTTTTGTAATAAAGCTGAAATCTTTGATGATGTATTATTATATTTGAAAGTTCAAGGTAGATGACTTATTTTTGAGTTTGGTGTAACCGACTGTACCTCATAAGATCATTTCACGTTACGGATCTGAAGTTAGATATCATACATAAAAGGTTATAGAAAGTGAAATAAAAATGTTTGATATCAGTTTAGAAAACTTTTGTAATAACTCCTGTACAAATATGATTTATTTTTGCAACACAACATTTGCTAGAAACATTAGATCTGTGCACCGTTGATTTGTGACTTTATTCTAATCGCTAATACAATAAAAATAAAACCAGTATAAAATTAAGTATATGAATTACAGATATTATACTTTGCTATTAAAGTTGAATATTATCCCTTAAATTCACTAATAAATCGTTTAAAGTACTAGGATTTATTAACTCACTTATTACTAGCTGTTTAAACACGTTTTATGATCAGAATGGGGTTTGTGGAAAATATAGTAGTGGGGATTGTAGTAATTTGATAGCTGCATTTATGAATTGCTGTAATCTAGGCCACCATTGAAAACTTGGGACCAATGGACAGAGGTTTCGTCCTATTATAAAACTCTTCAGCAATGCACATCTACAATCCGGCGCACAGGACTCGAACTCAGGACATTCAGTCTCCCGCGCGAAAGTTTAAATGGCATCCAACAATGTTAATGTCTAACTCCTATCGAATATGAATGGTCGTACAGCCATTCATCGATTGTCTGAAGTAGATACCCGTTTCTACGCGACACAGACTAAGCCCCACTGCTCATGACGTTTCACTAGAACTCCAGAAAATCATCTTGAAGCCAGTCACTGGCGAGCTCATGATGAGGAGTTGCATATTAGGATGAAACGGTCGTCCAGTGCTTTCAAGTTTTCAGTGGTGGTCTAACTTACATTAACACATGAATTCAAATACTAAAATTAAGCACGTTTCCACTGAAATTTTACTTATATTTGTGGCAAATACTGTAGCCAATAATTTAGTTTTATTTTGTTACAGTTTTCTGAAATATATCGAGAAACCATAACTGTACACCATGAAGAACTATCTGATTGAATTCCCTCATTGTAATTGAAATGAATAAACAAAAAGAAGGGATTATGAATCTTCGTTGGTGAATTACCAACGGTAACTTCAGTGATAAAAAGAGCAGTCAGAATTAAGGCTTAGTTACATTTTTAAAGAAAATATCGTGGACTGTATAGAGAAAAAAAATACTCTAACAATCAAGTCAAAACAGTTATCTCTTCACTTTCACAGTACGCACTGCAGATTTAAAATCTCCAAGTTAAAAAGTAGTCAAAAAGGCAAAATATCTCACAACTTAATCTCGTTAAATCACCTAGCCACAAAATGACTTGTAATATATATTCTTGTCATGCTGGTGAGCAATTATGATATCTGGAGTTCATTCATGTTATCCATTGTGTATGTAATGTTAGAAATCAACCAAATGACAAAAACTATCAAAAATTGAGTATATTTTTTGTTCTTGATATTAGTTATTAAAACGTATCTGTGAATTAGAAAAATCGCATGTCAGTTAAGACATCAATCAAAGTTGATTGTAAAACACTGCACTCAGTGACAGACATTCGTTTTTAGTTACTTAAATCTGTTATCAGATGTTATCTACTACGATACATTTAGACATTCAATTTTATTTAGTTTAGTATTATCAATTCTGAAATCCTGTTGCTGTTTTGATATTAACTAATAATTAAAATACACGAAAAATCTTTACTAATCTGATCGTTATATTTAGTTCCATAAGTTAACACGTAAAGTGACAAATCGCGTATATATATATGTATATATATATGTATATATATATATATATATATGTATATATATATAATGAATCTATACTATAGAGAGATGTATGGATTAATCTAGATTTGTATTTCATTAGGGATTCAGTGATGCCTTACAATCTAACCTAACCAAACATACTGTATTCATTATCAAAAGTGTGATCAAGCATATGTGTTATTCTTAGAGAATCTAGATGTTATAAAAGAATGTTTGAAAGCTTCGAAGAATTAAGTTTGTCTCAGTGACATATTCAGATACTTTTTCATTCAAATTTCAATTAAGTTCATTTATCTGGGTTTTTTTAACTTTTGTTAATCTAATTATACAAACTTGGACTACAAGTTTCGAATTGATTGACTTTGGTTCTCATACACTCGAAAGAGTATTAATATATAATGAATATTTATTATTTATTTGAATACATAAATACTGGTAGAAAGGGGCATCCAATAAATATGCGCCACACAAGTCATTTGATTTCTGTGTGGGCTGTGATACTGTCCAGGTGACCAAACCAAAACAGGTGGTTTACATAGGGAGCCGCACTCCGAGCGTTTGACCTAAAAATCTGATCCACAAGGCAGTGGAAAATCGTAGGGAGATGCAGTCCCATTTTAGACGATGACCAGTAATTGGTTCATACGCCATTTGTTCCCTTAGGATACTAGAGCCCATGTACACCATTGGTTTGGAATGAGGGTTTTCCAACTCCCCTAGGTGGATATTTTATATCCACCAACCTGGGTAAAGCACTGGACATTTACTTTTCGTTCTCTCGATTTCGTAAACAACGGTAATGCCGCAAGAAGGCAGTGAGTAGGATTTTCCTGGCAGTGACTGTATACGCGTGGCCATGTGAAGGCATTTTGGGAGGGAGAACAGACTTTCCCACCGTCGGCCGTACCAGGACATTAGGAGACCTTATAACGTATAATTCTGCTCCATTTAAAACAGTTTCATTTGAAGTTTGCCTTTGAAATCTGAAATGTTAAACTTTATTGTTGATATTTAAATTATATGAAGTTAATTGACTATTTTCTTGTTATTATCAGTTTTAACGGAAATGAAAGTTGTTTATGTCAAACTGTATATTAATCAATTGAAATGATATTATTTTAATTGTGTATCAAATGTCGCTTATATGTTAATGATAGTAGTTTATTCATTTATAGATATAACTGATTTTATGAAAATTACTTTTGCCTACTAAGCTTCATTTGATTGTTCTACACTGATAGAAAGATTCAATACATAAACTTCAGTTTGTTAACATGAAATCAAATTCATTATTTTATAAGACAATGTAAAGGAAACAATTGTTTGTTCTTTAAAAAGTTGATATGTAAATTCTGAGTCGCTTTCTTCACTAAGAGGATGTCAAATAGTCATATTGTTTCATAATTTATTTCTTGTTTTTGAAATAGATTTGATAAAATTGATACTTACTACCAGTGAAAGTATCCATTCATATTATCTGCTTGATATTTCATTAACTGAATAGATTTCTGTTGAATACATTATAGGCTACTTAGATCAACTACCGTATTTCTTAAGTTGTTTGTGATTGAATAACTGTAGTTTGATTGCACGCACAAAATCTTAAGGATTTTAGAAACGTGTATATCTAAAGTTGGAAGGAAATAAACAAATAATTATACGGTAAAAACATGTACGATGAAGACAAATAATGTTCTGTGCAATAAAACCGTTTGTAGAATTGAGTAGGATGTATTATGAATTATTGAAAAAGCTTATATCCTAGTAAGTAGTAATTAAATCGGATGATTTATAGAGTTGAAATAGATCTTGGGATATTTTCATCAGCCAGAAGTAGGACTGCTGTTTAAGACAGCTATATTGTTTCAGCTTGGAACACTTCAGTATCACTCTTCCATGAACTAGATGCAATTTTTCATTGCTTTTTTTTTGTTCCCAGCGTTAAATTATTGATGAAAGTCAATTATAAAATTTTACCTTTATTTGAACTGTTGCTAAAGAATAACCATGGAGTATGTAAAATTGATTTTATCCTAAAACTGTTTTACTATCGACATTTTAAGTAAATAAAATAAATATAAATTCAAGTAAAACCTTATTTTGATTAAATTTAAACAATGACTAAACCTATGAGTAGGATTTCCTGTAGTTTACCTCCGGGCATTGAAAATTCATTTTTTACTGATAAAATCTTATAAATAAAAAAATTGTATCCCTAAAAAAAATGTCATCAACATTTTTTTCATAAATAACTTGAAATCATTCTATTTGATAACAATGAGGTAGGTATAGAAGTTTATGAATTTACTTTATTATAAATTTGTAGATTTACATCAAGCAATGAGATGGGCAATATTAAAATAGTGTTAGAAGTGACTGTTAATTTACAAATTTGAGTAAGATAAATTTTGCCCTCCTTTTATTTTCATTGATGTATGTTAAAATGGAAGCATAATTAAGCTTTACTTTTTTTAAGTGATGTATATTAAATGGTAAATTAGCAAAGGATAATCATTTTATAGCCAGACTTATAACAGTTGATATTATTTATTCTGTTATAACTTGTGACCTTGTGACCTTGTCCTCTATTATTATATAATAGTAACTTATCGACCTCAACAATGACACATAAAACTCGTACGAGCAGTCTAAAGTCCTTGTCAGTCCTTCTTTCTGACTAGTCCTACCTGTTGAGTTCAGAGCACCAATCTTAGCCTCTGAGATATGAATGATATATTTCAAAAATACTGCGTTTATATACAAACCAAACAGACCACATCACACCATAAAATAGAAAATAATATTTGTACAAGATCTAGCCAAAAGTGGCTGTGAATGTGAGAGGCTGTAATTAATAGACTGGGTAGAACTTAAGAAGGGTAAATCGTATAATAATAGTCTGTCAGTCAAAGCTTTTAATAAGAGGAACATGAATATCCATAGTTCAACTACTTAATAATTATACAATAAATATATATGTATCGTATCGGTCTATAATTAGTTATCATAGTTCTCGTCAGGATATAATATAATCGCTTTTTCTTAAAAAAGTAATAAGTAGTATACACGTATGTATACAAGAAAGTCTTTGTGTTCATATAATTACTTTAGCGAT